TGATCAGATGCTGAAAAGCTGAAGAAACTCATAATGAGACAACATTTTGGATATAGGAAGAGAAGGAAAATCTCTTTACAGGAGGGGTGTTTTGGTGGGTTTTTTTTCCACCTTGGTGAATTGGAGCTGTTCATGGGAGATCAGATGATGTCATCTTAGTTTTGTTCCCTTAAACACCCTGAACTATGCCCCTAAAGACTGCTTCACCTGGAGGAATAGCACCTCTTCTTTTCTGTTTCCCAGCCACTGTAGTGGAATTGGGCTAAATATGGCTTCATTTACCTTCCACTTAAACGCTTCCGTATTCAGTTTCATGTGCCAGATCTAAGAAAGCAACAAGGAACAAACAGAAGAGGAGGGAACAGTTCTAGAATGTAGATCTCAGAAGAAGCAGTTGTGTTAGTAGATCCTGGCTGCCAGATATGGATCCAGAAAGTCTTTGGAAACTGTGATTTATAATGAGTCATAACATATAAAATAGCAGTTTTATGACTTGAGCGCATCAGAGTGTTAATAATGGCTATATAAAAATATTCCCAAAATTTAAGGAGAGGAATAAGAGGCAAAACTTGCCAGAAATTGGGAAATATATTGGGAAATTCATAAATGGTCCTCATCATCAAATTTAATTTGGAAAAGTTATTAAAAATTGCTTTTGGAAGATGTGCTTCCTAAGACAAGACAGTATGCTCACCATCTAAGCTGACACTTGGGAAATAATGAGAAAAATAAACAAAATGATCCTAGACCTCATAGGATATAGATGTAATCCCAGCAATCATGAAACCTAGATAGGATGCTGAGTCCTGTGTTATCCTCAGCTATACAATGAAACTCTGTCTCAAAATAAATAAAAACCCAAATCAGGCAAATAAACAACAACAACCATAAAATCCCCTCCAAAGACTCTAAAAAAATAATTAAAATAATGCAAAAATAAGACCAGTATTGATGTATGAAATAACAAACCAAACCAATGTATTCAGCAGCTGATTCAAATAGCCGCAGATTTTGGCTTGCAAAATAAGAGGCTGTAGATACTAGACATAAATAGTAGGAAGCAATTAATATTCATAAAAGTATGCAATGAAACACTGCTTCCTGTTATAGAGAAGAAGAAAGATCAGTGAAAAAAAACCAAACACTATTCAGATGCAAGAAGTCATTTGACTTAAAAGGAGAGAAAATACAAAGAAACAAATTATCTAAGGAGAAAAAACCTCATTGATGTTAGGAAATGTTTGATGGTGACATGCAGGGAATATCTGAATCAGCCAGGAACAGAGGAAAAGAACAATGTATTTGAGAATTTTAGTCACAGTTGGGTGAGGGGAGATTGGCTCTAAATGGTTCAGTAAGTAAAAGTGCTTGCAAACAAGACTTATGACCCAAGTTTGATTCCTGAAACTCACGTGGTAGAAGTATAAAAACAATCACAGAACACTGCATTCTCGGCATCCATTTGATTGTTGGTATGATACATGTGTTTCTACACCTCCACAAATGAATCAATTAAATAAATAAATAATTTCATAAAGCAAACTATATGGAGAGAAAATTTGAAATCAGCTCTATTCTCTATATATATCCTCAGAAATACGTAGACATACGCACATAGAATAGGTATGCATGTCAAGATGTTCAAAGGTCTCCTAAATAGTATTTATACATTCTGTGTTGAGGTGTGGATCCCAGTATCCAGCTTAACACAGTGATATGGGGCAGCATTACTCAAATCAATATTCCAGGGAACATTTTTTTCCATTTAGCTGTAAGCAAAGTATCTCAGTAAAATAAACTTGGAAAGTCCAGGACACTCAACCCTAAGCAGATGCCAATATGACAGTACCTCTTACCACCTCCTACATGCAATGCAAGATCTTGTCCCTCATCAGCTAAGGATGATTGAGTTTAGTCAACATGTATTCATTTTACGATGCTATTAATCTTGAGGGATATATAGTATTGTTCCCCACTTTACACTGACGTGGAAACTGAAAACCAGTAAGATGAAATTCTGTGTTTTGTTATTGAAACAGCTGCAAATGAGAGACAGGACTATTTCTGGTTCATAGTCTGTGTTATTAATCTCATCAATAAAAACAGGAAGCAGAGTAAAGGGAGCATGAAACATTTTTATTTCGGTGGAAACTTCTCAGTATTCTATACCATGCTGTTGAGCATGATATGCAAAGTATAACGTGACTAGTAATGTGGATTGAATAACATGTGTGTATGTATGCATGCATGCATGTATATATATATACATTAAAACAACATACAGTTATATAATAGAAAATTCATATAAACAATAGTAAATACTTATAAAACTTTATAATTTTTTAGACAGCTAAAATAGCATATTCTACATAGAACTAGGACATGCATTTTATATATTTCATATTCCTTGGTAGCAATAAACTAAATTAGCAACTACTAACTGTATCAGTTACATCATTGTAGCTGCTGAAGTGGGATCTTGAAATAATGGCCCTTAAAGGGATGGATGTTAATATCTCTCTTACAATAACAATTTGCAGAGCAGATAGAGTAGACCCTTGGAGACCAGGACTTCTACGTGCTCACTCCAGACATTGCTGTTTTCACCTGGGGTCAAGATGGGGCGGTCCAGATCCTTCCTCCTTCAGGTCTGCATTTTAGGAATCAGGAAGAAGACAAAGATTTCCTCTAACAGTCGGTGTTCTCATCCCTTACTCAGCCCTTGGTAAGATGGTTACACACAGTTACAAAAGCAGCTGAGATGTGGCACTCAGTCAAAATAAGTGCCGCCATATAAGAAGACGGTAATAACTGGAGATGTGGGTCAGTCTTAGGAATTTTGGTAAGGTGGGGAATTCCCCTAACTCATGTCAAGGTTAAAAATCATAATCATATTCACAGAAAAACTTAGTACAGTAAGATTCTGCCAGACCAGTACCCAGAAGAAAATATAATGCTTTAATGTTCTTCATGTTAAGCAAGAAAGAATGAAAATAGATTAATTAATCATTCCAGTAAAAAAAAATAGAAATAATTTTTAAATGAGTATAAAATGTCAGGAATGAATTAATAAAGATACGATTGGAGATCAATAATTTATAAATGAGAAAAGAACAGTTGAGTGATAAATTTAAATGCTAGCTCTCCAAAAGATCATTAAAAGAGATAAACTGCAGAAAAGGCAAGCCAATAAAAAAGAAAGATGCTAATCCTCGGCATTATGTATGACAAGGGGATATAATCACAAGAAGAAAAATAATTCTGTGCTTACACAAGAAACCAGCAGTGTCTGCCAGGGCACCTCCCATAGACCAGGATCCTCATTGCTTAGTGCTTAAGGAGCGAGGCCCCCAAAAGGCATCTGCCAATACAGTGATTCATACGTTAATCTGTTATAGCAACAAAATCAAATTCAGCCTAAACAGTCTTGGAAACAGAGTGAATAAGAACTGGACATACTAGTGTTTTTCTCCATTTTGAAGGCTGAGACAGGAAAATAGGGAGTTCAAGGCTACCCTGAACTGCACATTGACTTTTTGGTCATTTAGGGCACTATCTTTTCTTAAATAACAAAATAACAAAGAAACTGCAAAAGAAAGAAGGATGTTTATATTTTTTTTAGTGCACTCTATATACCATTTTCTTTATTCAGTACTTTTTGCTTTTAACATTCATTTGTATTTAGTGTTGTGTGTGCATGTGTGTGTTAGTGTATGCATGTGTGCATTCGCATACATGTGTGACTATACGAAAACATGAAGGGAAATTCCACATACACACATTGACAAAAGTTACTAGATTATTTTAAAATCAAGTTAGGGTCTTAAACCAGAAAACTTCTCTAGGCAGCACTATTGCACATTAATAAAAAATCAACAACAGCATATATAGTTAAAAGATTGTCTTTATCCAATAGCTTCTAATATCTATGCTAGAATGATAAAGGTATGAATCAATGGTAAATAGAATATAGATAAATAACAAATAGATAACAGATGAATAACTAAATTATAAATAATATATAGATAAAAATATAAATAAATGGTAGGTAAAAGGTTAAAAAAAGACAAGTAATTCCAAAGGTATTGCAGAAAATTCAACTAATTACTACTGAGGAGAGATAGAATAAACAAACAAGGCAAAAACTGTAAAAAAAAAATTAGGATCTAAAGAACACAACCAATACTCACAGGCATACATTGACATATAAACCTGATTAAATACATATTATAATTACATAAAAAATGAACCCATACCAAAAATGAATCTTAACAGATTCCAAGCACTAAGACTAGGCTTCTAGCTACTGTTATTTTCAATAAAAAAATAACTAGAACAATAAATAACTAGAACAAAAAATAACTAGAACAATAAATAACTTAACTGAAAATTAAGCCATTTAATCTTCAATAACATAAGAAAAAAGTCAGTAAAGGCTAGATGACCTATATGAAGCACCAATAGAACAGAGAAAAAAAAATGGAATGAAGATAAAGTCATGTTTTCTAGAGAATCTTAAGGTCTCATGTTACAGAAGAAAGGGTTTGATACTCAACATCCAAGCTTTGTTCTCAAGAATTCTCCTAGCAAAGGAAACAGCACATTAAATATCATACAAAATAGATTGACATAAAGAATAAAGAACATAAATAAGTGAAATACAAAGCACACATATTATATATACATTCAACCCTACACAAAGTTCTTTTCTGATTTTGGATAATAAAATTACTAACTACCTACAGAATTAATCAAATAAATAAAATAAAAATACACTTATTAATTTAAGAAACATTGCAAACTTCATTATTAGTCCTACTGATAACTAAAAATAAAAATATTAAATGACATTATAAAAATATCCTTAATAAATAAGGTAAAATGAACTATAAAATTATAAGACATTCAAAAATACATAAATATTTGAATAGTATCATACCTGTTTTAAATAAATAAATTTTGAAAATTTTTCATAAGGGAACACTATTTCAACTGAACCCATCAAGTAACTTTTTGAAATACTTAAAGACAATTAACAGAGATTTTACAAAAATTCCATCAAAAATAATGAAAATAATGAGAGGAAACAATTTCTATTCAATTGTTGGCTTATTAAAATAAGCAAAATATGGCAAAAATATTACAAAAATTAAAATCACAATGAACCACTTTCATGAATATAGATGGATCTGTGCTGACCAAAATATTAGCAAACTAAATCGAGCACTACATTAAAATGGATCAGTTTTAATGGGTTTTTAACAATAAAAGAATACAAATAGTCAATATTAACATCAAAAAGAGTAAGAAAAGTTGTCACATAAACAAAATAAAAGCTCAAAAACCCAATCATAAAGCCTTTAGAATTCAGAGAACAAATGAGATCTTCATTTGAAAATTGATCAGATCATTAAAATATTGTACATAGTTGCAGAGATTTAAGAATAGTCAAGAGCATAGGTCAGTAAAATGATTCGATAAGTAGAGGCACTTGTTACGATGGCTATAGCATGGATTTGATTCCCAAGCCCCACATGATAAAAGGAGAGCATTGTCTGCTACAAGTTTTCCCATTTTCTCATTTGTACTGTGCCCCTACATACAAATGCCCTCGGCACTCAATAAACAAATAAATGTAATTTAAATGCTTTTTAAAAATAGTCAAGATTCTTATAAAAGAATAATGAAGAATGTCTTTATCAGTTATTGTCAATTTGTGATCATTAAAACAGTATAGTTTTGATAATGTAATATACCGAAGGGACCAATGTGAACTCAATAATATCCTACGTTCATGTAGTCATATGACTAGGGAGGGCCACAGGCTATGGGAATGCAGGGAAGTGGTTCCATTGGATACACACATACACACACAATTAAAATTCCAGTAGAATAGAACAAGGTTGTAAAGCAATAAAAATCAATAAGGAAATTAACTATTTTAGAAAAAGGCAATGATTTATTAATCAGTACATATCATTAACATTACATTAAGAAGAAAATGGTAAGTTAAACAGCATTACAGTTCAGTTAGCAAGCTTAACTGTACTAATTTGAAGGATGTTTGGCTCAGCGAATGTGTTTGCTTTACAAGCTTGACAACGTAAGTTCAATGTCTGTGATGCAAAAAGAATCCATTCCTGAATATTGTCCTCTGATCCATGCACATGTGGCCTGGCTTGCACAAGAGCACGTGCACACACACACACACACACACACACACACACACACACCGCACCACATCACATCATATCACATCACAGAAATAGGCAATAATAATAATAAATAAAATAGAAAATGAAAGATTACTTGGTGACTAAAAAATATCATAGATAGAATTAAAATCAAAATGTATTAGTAAATGACATACACATATGCATAAATTGACAGTACCCAAATTCATCGAGGATATATAAGAACATTTGCAGATCTATATGAAAATGATACAGACTAGTAGAAAGCTTGGGAAAGGACTTTAATAGACTGTTGACAAATGAGCATGTCCAAAGGGCCACTGGCTGTGAAAAATTCCTCTGATTACTTTGTTCATCAACTTAATGTAAGTCAGAAACAGACTGAGGTCCCTGCTAACCTCCCAGAGTAGAGTAAAGAGACAGAGACAGTACTGGTGAGGCTGAAGTGCAGTTGAACCTAGCCCAGTGCTAACAGAATACAACCAGGGGAGGAAAGCTTAGAGGCAAGCTCTACAGGCTTATTAAAGAAACACATGAACAACTGCATTCATTAGAAATAAATATAAATACTCATATGCATGTATACACAGATGTGTCAGTTACTGTAAAAACAGTACTCATTTTAACCAAAAGCTGGGGGACTGAGGAGCAAGAAATTTGCATAGATAGTAGCAGGAGCAAGACAATTGCAAAAATTTTGTAATGAAGTTTAATACTGCAAGTTCTGAAAGTAAGCAAACTATTATTATCGCCAATATGGATAATAACCCAGGGCACATATTTTGTGAAAGAACCCAGACAATCCAATAAATAGTACATAATTATGAACAGTTGAAACAAGTTCACTTCTCTTTGCTTCTACGAAGGACAATATTTGTAAGCTACTTCTTTCCCAGGACAGAACATGAGGAGTTCTTCCCAGCTGCTGGTCTGGTGAATTACAAAGTTGGGCAGCTCACATCCGTATGTAGCTCAAGCTCCAGGTGATCTGACACCCTCTTCTGGCCTCCCAAAGCACCTGCAGAATGTGGCATGTATTCATACACACATATGTACAAGCGAAAATAAAAACACAAATAAAATGATAGAAATGAAAAAAGGGTGTTAGAAAGCAGTTAGTCCAGCTACAATTGAAAGCAGTTTAGAGCTATCTCAGAAACTAAAATCAGAACTAGTTTACCCATTCCATGCAACAAATTAAGGTAGTTTTATGTATACTATGAACTTTATCTTAAATTGAATAAATTTGAATACTAATATTGTCTAGAGATTGTATTCAGTAGTGCAGAGGTAATTTCCAACATCTGGTGAATGCAGTGGTAGGTGTCCTCAGTGCCTAGGAATGCCAGCATCACTAGATGTCATTTGAATATTTTTATTTGATTTAGCTGCTAGCACCTGTAAATAAACCCATTCTCAATCCTGAAAATTACTTGTATATTTTGTAACCAGAGACCTAATATTACTTAGAGATCTAAAAGATGGTGGGCAACTTATTTTAATGCTACATCCAGCCGGATTCCACACGCCATCTGCATTTTGAACGTACACATGCAGTAAGACATAATAGAATCATTATTAGCTACTTCCAAACAGACCCTGACAGGTCCATCATGTATCAATCTGGGGACCCTGACAGATTTACTTATTATCTGACTGCCCCATTTTCTGAATTTCAAAAAAAGGCATGGTTTCAAAAACTAGATGGATAAAAAGAGTTTAGGAAAAAAAAGAAAGCATCCCAGAAGGAGTTGTCTTGCATCTCAAGGCAGGAGGCCAGGGAATGTTCATTTACACAAGAAAGAAGGGGTGGTAATGAGTAAGAAATGATGATCTTACCAGGGCAAGGCTCTGTGTTGGAGTCTGAGAAGGAGTTTGGGCAGGTAGTGTTGGAATGAATATTGAAGCACTTATCAATGGAGGCTCTTGGCTGTATAACACTCAGTAGAGACAACTGTTTAAGAGTATTTGGAGAAATTGCATCATATGAAAGCTGCTCCCCGGTTGACAGAGAAAGAAACGATGACACTTTAGGAAGAAGAAAACTTAGTGGTAGGGACAAATGATTAAGTAAAAGAAGAAGAATGTAGTAAATCATACAATAGACTTATGATATTTATAAATAAGTATCATTCTACCCACATCTCCCTTTATCTTTAATTATATTTCCCTCGAAAGAAACAACATATTCTAGTTTCATTAATGGTATATCATGTGACACAGAGAACATTTATTTCTGTTTGAATTTGGTTGCTACTGGATACTGATATTTCAAAAATAAACAGGAGACTTCCCGAAAAGGAAAGACGATCTATGTGACACAATCTGCAATTCAAGGAAAATTATCATAATAAACCTATCATACATATGCAATATCTTGTACTTATCATACATACGTAGTATGTTGCTTAGATCTTTAGTGCTCTTAACAAATGGGAAGCTTAGAAAGACTCCCACAAACAAGAGGAAGGTAATTCAGATTTTAGTTCAAGGCCCCAGCAGGAGCTGTACAATTCCTTCCTGAGCTGTTTGTAATTTGAAAATATCGATGATTTATATATGCTACACAATGAATCAAAATGGTCATCAAGAGAGTGACCGGTAAATATTTAATGGCTTTGTGAGCGTCAGACCTATTATTTTAACTTGCTTCCATTATATGTAAAAGGAATATTGAAAAACGGCGGTGTTTTCTGCTGAAGACATCATGTTCCTGAGGCCTCGCTGCTCATAAAAATTTTAACGTTAATAGCAACCTTATAAATTATTTCATCCTAATTTTACTAATGAGATCCAGGTAGAGAGAGGTTAAGTGATTGCTCCCAGTCAGGTTGGCTCTTACCCCCTTTAGTTTTGTTGAGATTAGGTTTCGCCCTACTCCTAGTTACTTCTTATTGTAAAAAACAAGCAGTGGTCAGGCTGTGCCTTGACCTAGGATACTCCGTTGTACAAAAAGCTTTTTGCACTGTTTTAGAGGCAGATGACTGCGACCTCTGGGAGTACCCATTACCCGCAGGATTTTCTGGGTACCACCTGTCTTGTTCCAATTGATAAATGACCCGTTCCTTGTAGTAGAAAGGATGTCACCTATTAAGTTTTGTGGGGTGAACTGAGACTTTGTGGGCACATGGGCTTTTTAAAATCATCACAGGGAGACTAGATTCAAGAACTCATAAGACTCATTAGATCAAGGAAAAATTATTTTTTCTTCACATGAACCCCACAAAATAATGGGTATCTAGTACTATGATGGCAGGCCCTCATATCAATCTATAGTCTGTTACCCTGGCCTGAATTCTTAGTTATCTTATCAATAAGGACTCTATTCACAGTTCCATTACCCTACTTATAAGGCCTTTGGGATGTTGATGCAGCTTCCGGAGCTGATATTCATTCTGTAAGCCACACGCATGTCTAAAGATATATTGCTACACTCACTGTGTGTTGTGTGATGCATGATATAAGACTTAACATTAATAATTAAGGTTAAAGCAAAAGAACCTTCGTTTGCCTTAGACAAATGACCCAGGGGTGGGATTATCTAGCAAATTACTTTAGTTGAAACTCTCGACCCCTGTGAATTTGTTGTTATTCAATAAATTCTAACATTGTGGAATGACACAGATGTGTTCCTTTGTAACCCAGAGCACACGTGACAGTTTTCTCTCACGTTTCCTCCCAGTGTGTTGCAGTCTAGCTTTTGCTTTGGTTATCTTTCCTCACTTCTAGAGTGCACCAGCCCCCAACAGTGCATTTTACTTACATTCTCAACATAACCATGGAGAACTGGGTTCTATTTTAAGTTGGCTATTTTTATTTGCTCCATTTTGGACTCTAGTACCTGGGAAGATTACTGTCTTGTTAAGGAGGTTATCTAAACACCAGCTCTCTTGTGCATGAGTACACATCCCGAAACTTACCTAAAAAGAAAATTTAATAGCCTAGAAGAATAATCATAGTAATTATAGTGTGGTATAGAAAAACAAAATGGGTTCAATTTCCCTTCGCAAAGCAAAGTATGTCCTTACAGGAAGATGATCTGAATTGAATTTTCCTTGCCAGTCTTTGGTCCTGTACCAAAACCTATGTTTTCCTCATGTATCTTCTGGCTGTGCTATTCATAATGGGCTTTGCCCAACACTGTCTTGTTCAATGTTGTAAAATCACTATCTGCTACATACAAGCTCATCTTGCAGAGGGCTCATCACGTTCATGCCCATTTATGATGCTGGGAAAATTCAATCAGTTGTTTTCCCCTGAGAAATCTATTTCTTCAGCAAGTATCTGTTAAGGACCTGGGCTCTTCTTACCATCTTAACAAGCCCTGGGAATATTTTAGTGAGCAAGAAAAATATGTTTTTCTTTCCTTACATGGCATTCAGTCCAGCAAGAAAGCAGGTACTTAGATAACGAAGACTATTATGCTATTTGTCCTGATCCAGAAGTTACAGAATCTAAGATGGACCATAACAAGGAAAGCTGATTAGTTTCCAACAGAAGTTACTCTTAAAAGGGCATTGGCAGATGAATAAACAGGTCCCAAGTACCACAAGCCAGCTTCCATTTTTACATTTGTATTTGGGAACTCTCCTTTCAACAAAATTACTCTGGGAAGAAGAGTTCTTAATGCATTTCATTTGGAAACTAAACTAAGATTTTTGTTGTTTTATTTTTTGTTGTTGTTGTTGTTGGTTGGTTGGTTGTTTTTTTATTCTCCAGAACACATTTGCTGCATTTAGATTTCCAGAATTTCTATAATAGGGTCTTAAGCTCTAAATATTAAGTCTGGTATAGACTTGTTTTTCTAAGGATGGGTCACTCTCAGAATTATGTCAGTTAGTATCGTCTGTGAGTTGATAGGCTTCACCGCAGTCTAAGGGAAACAATCACTGGAGAAATGGGGACTGTGCTCAAGTGTGCATACTTAAAAGTTGCCCTCATTGACCCATATGGATGGCCATCATTGTTTATGGATTCACAGTGTGACTAAAATTCTCTTCCCTAATTTTGTGCTAATTGTCTAAAAAAAAAAAATTGCTGTAAACGTGCTTTTCAGCTGCCTGCATGGCAAAGGCTCACCTTGATTATATACTTATTGCATCACCTAAGGCTCTATGTTGGTGCACAAGCATTTCTGGGAACTAAAATGACACATGCCTAGGGCAATCGCCAGTTACTGCAGCCCTCTGACTTGGGAGAAACAGGAATTAGAAAGGTCAGTGTTCAAAATTCCTGCTTCATCTGTCTGGAGTTATATATTTTTATCTAGGAAGAGAAAAGTATGGTTACTGTAAATGGTTCGCCTCTGGCCAACTAACAAAATTAGGGCAAAGTTTATCAAAGTCACTTAGAGTTTGGAGCCAACTATCCAATGTCTTATCAGCTAAATCATTTTGTGCCCAAACTTTTTGAATAAAACTGTTACCTTAGTTAGGAGATGACCCAGCCTGCTCAACATGATACCCAATGGCCATTCAATCCATTAGAGAAGACTCAACTTTATTTCTTTCTAATTTATAGATAAATATGAATATTCTAAGTCTTTAGAATTCCTGCTCCATGGAGTTCTAGAAAGTGAAAAATTGTCTGAAGTGGTTTGAATAGTTTTCATTTCTTCCTCCTTATCTAGCATACTAGACTTATTAGGATGGTGAATCAAGTGGATATGGGTTTCTGCTAGTTTGAAGTAGAATACCGACATCTCTTTCCGCCTTATTTCAGAAAGGGAAAGACAAACCTGGGGGTCATATAAAATATAGTGCCTCGGAAATCCAATTCTGAAAGAGTAGCCTTATGCCCAGCTCCACAATTATGGTGAACAAGTAGCAGATGCTTGTGTACAATCAGCCATCTGCGCAACCGTACTTTAGAAGTGCAAGCTGAACAATAAGACTTATCTGCAGAAGGGGTTATTGGCTCTGCCAATGCATATGTAGTTTTTCACAAGCCTAGGAATTTATTGGTTTAATAAGGAATGAGGCATGCTTCCTTTGGGCAAACGTCTGTGTAATGTATTGCTGCCCAACAAATCACCCTACCTCTTAGATTCAAAGCAAGAGTTCACAAAGTTTTCCCTGCAAAAGAAAAGATGTTATGATTTTAGGCTCTTCACACCACTCAGTCTTGATTATTCAACTCTGCCACTTTTGTGCAATGTGAAAATAGTCTTAGATAACATCTACGTAAATATATATGTCTGTGTTACCCCAGATTCTGCATTTTTTAAAAATAGCTGATGTCTAGGATTTGTTCCATGAGCTCTATGCTATTTCCTGGTTTAAAAACAATTATAGTAGCTATTCTCATGAGTCTTTTGGGTGATGTGTGGCTATCTATTACTGGGCAGGCCATCTTAGTATACTATAACCACTGTCATGTAACTCGTATTTGGTCCAGAGCTGTTAGCTGACGTGACGTTTCTCCCCTGTTTGCTCCCTTCTGCTTCCTTGAAAGTAGTTCAAGCTTCTTTGAAAGGGTGTCCTCAAGACAGCAGCTGAGGCAGCCTTGATACTGGCTAAAGTAATACTGGATGAAGTGTAACAACTGGCAAAGTGTAGACTAAAGAGGTTTTGAGGGGTGGAGGGCGGGTGCACACAGCAGCATATGGCGGAAGTGCACACACAGAGAGACAGAGGAGTTCTTTTCACTGGTGCAGACAATCATCCAAAGTTTGTTAAGCAGTAAACAACAATCTCACCGCAGTAGTCTCAAGATTACACAATTCCATAAACAAGCTTTAAAAATATTTTGGACAGAAAATGGCCTTCACAGATTGCAAATAACTTTCCTATAAAATCTATGTTATTTAAAAGTTATTTTAACATATTGCAAAAATTATATTCCTAGAGCAGAAATAGAAAGGAGGATCCAAAGAACAAATAATCCCAAAATCATCAACCTAGATGAAAGAGGTTTTAGCAAGGCAAGTCAGTAGGGTGATTTACCAATGGTTTAATCTTTACTTAAATTCCTGCTATCCTGCAGAGTCTACCTTTAATGGTTTACATTAAACACACTGCCTGTCATCATGATAGACATAGTGGCCTCTGGCTTAGAATATTCTATTAGAGCTTCCTGAACAGCAGGGCACACAACCAGCACCAGACCTCATACTAACTTGTCAAGGAGTATGATGAATTGAAACCATAGATTTACTCTAATTCTGAAGAGCACTTAAAATACCTAAAGGTGTGTGTGTGTGTGTGTGTGTGTGTGTGTGTGCGCTTGTGCATATGTGTGTGCTTTGATGGCTAACTTCTTTCAGCTTTCCACAGACTGTGTTATCCGGAAAAAGAGGACCTCAACTTGAGGAACTGTGTCCCTCAGATTGCTGCAGGAATATTTCTCTCTGTCTCTCTGTCTCTCTGCTTCTCTCTCTCTCTCTCTCTCTCTCTCTCTCTCTGTGTGTGTGTTGGGGAAGGGGCTTTTTCTTGATGAATGATTAATGTGACAGTTCCCATCGTGGTGAGCAGTCCCACCAGAATAAGTTGGTTTAAAGTTGCTTAAGGAAGCAAAATGAGCAAGCTGAGCAAGTCATGGAGAACAAATCAGTAAACAGCATTTCCCCATGGTCTATTCTTTAATTTCGACTTATACTTACATATACACATATATAGAGTATTTATGTATTCTGGATATATATTATATATAGACAATATATATGAATTTAATAGACAGTTATTAGAAAATGCATGTTGTTTTTGGAACCTTCTAATAATACATAAAGGAAAACATCTCACCTGTTAAGCCAGTAAAAGAACTTTCACAAATCTTCTTCCTCTGGAATGGTGATGAAGTAATTGAAATGCTTTTGCATGCATTAGAATTGCAAAATGTTCACTGTCCTGTAGAACATGCTGAATTAAATTACAAGAGTTATGATACTGATGCTTGCTACATACAGGAAACGCGAGATATGGCATCTGTTGAAAGGTCTGCAGAATCTTACGCAGGGATTAGTACATTCATTCTATTTGTTTCTTCTCCAGTGAAAACAAAGAAGGAAGACTTGTAAGGGTTAGGGATGTTGTTGGCCTCCAGCGGTTTGCTGCTGAAATAATGCAAGAGGACTAAAACCCTGATTTGCCTAATCTATGATTGTCCAGTGTGAGGCTGTAAATCATCTTGGCTGTGTGTGATCCGCTACTGGGTTGTTCCTGGACATGATGTTAGGGGGATGCGCATGGTCAGCTATCCTGCTGCTGTAGGAGGTATCTCTGACTCTTGTCAAGATTACACACATAACAGGAAGGATGAAGCAGGCAATTGGGCTCCTATTTCTCTACAAAGTCCGTCTTCCGAGTCACTATATAATATCTTCCTCACATGCTAATCCACTCCCATGATGAACTGTTACAACATGCATAACATCTTCTGAGACAGAGGTTCCTCTTTATTCTATCTTGAAAATGAATTCCATACTGGAAACATTATTTCAGAATTAATCAAATCATGCTCAAGACCCAGAAATCCATTTATGCATTATTTCTCATGACTTCCTTTCTCCCTCTTCATCATTATCATAAGATTTTTGCAAGTTTCCATAGTGTACTGGTTCAGGTTGTCTACTTGACAATAAAAAAATCTTGAAGCACCTGGGAGATTGGCCTCTGGATAAACCTGTGGGGGATTCTCTTGATTTAGTTAATAAAGGGTAAAGCCCTCCCCTCTGTGGGTGTGCCATTCTTAGTCAGCGGGGTGGGGGGGGATCTTAGAGAAAAGGGGCTGAGCCCTGGTGCACAGACTGGCACTCACTGCTCTCTTCCAAATGCAGATGGTTGTGTTCAGCTCCTTCAGATGCTTGCTGTCTGACTCCCCCTCCATGATGGACTGAGCCTGGAACCCTGGGCTGTAAGACAGTCTTTCTCCCTTAAGAAGCTTTGGGCAGGTTATTTTAGCGCAGCAAGACAGAGCGAAACTGAGCCACTTAGAGTTGTCCCCTACCCATCTTTTGCTGTCATGCTTCATCTTAAATCATCAGACTTGTCCTCCAACAAATCTCCTTGCTTCCCCTGTCCTAATTTTCTCCGAATACTCACCTATTTATTTTTCTTTCCTGTCACACAACTCTCAGGCTGTCCTTCGCGTTCTTCAGCATCTGAGCATGAAGTAGATGCAAAACATTCCTATTACTAAAATAAGATAGGTTCATGTTTTAAGAATGATTTACTCTTAGTATACCAGAGTTTTGTCATCTGGAAATGGAGGTAAAATATTACCTATCTAATAATGAACAAATGTTCAACGAATTAAAAAAAGATAAACCCATAAAACTATAGACTACAAGAAAAACATATACAAATGTTTGGCCAGAAAAGTGATGCTTAAGACAAATGAGATCCAGAAGGAGGTGAAGCTAATGAAAGGAACACCTGACACGGGTGGGACGCTCTAATCAATTTCAAGCAGATTTCCTGAAAGAAATAACAACCTTTTTTTAATAATGAGAAACAAAATTGGTTGCAGACACTTTCCTTACATAACACAGTTTATGCTGAGGATTTTAATTGTTTGTTAAAATAATCAAAATTCAGAGAGTCACTGTTTACCATTATCATGGATTGAAGGAGTGGCCAATGAGTCATTATTTCCCCCAAATAACTGTATATTTATTATGCTTAAAAAATAAGAGAAGCGGTTTGGTGATTTAGCATCTCTAGTTGGTCTGTCAGGGAATAGCTTATGAAAACTGACCTGTGGTGAAAACAGAGGCAGGTTTTCACTGTCCCAGAGCAAAGAGGGGTCAACAACCCCACCCGAATTCTCATACTGTCTTCAAATGACTGAACTGAAATAAGTGGATATCCAGCAAAATTATTCTTTCACAGTTCTGCAAAAAAGTAAAAGCAGAAATTAAAACATTTTAAAATAAAAGGAACCGCTTCGTTTATGTTCTCCCCACGTAAAGATAGAACGTGTACTGTGAAACTGCTCATTTCCAATGGACAGTCCCTACGGTGAAGAAGTTAGAAATCAGCTTACCTTTTGTCCGATGTATCTTTTAATGGATCTGTGAAAAAATGGGTGAGAGAGATTCCGACTTGCTGTTGAGATTATTACTTTTATTCTGTGCTACAGAGAAAGTGGCCAGTGAGCTAAGCCGATCACAACTAGGTAACCTTACACATCTTAGAATTTTTGAAGAGTCGTCCAGGATGGTGACTAAGAATTTTATTTTGCTGTAGTGTATTTTCAACTGCATCCAGGCAAATGAAGATAAAGAGATAGGAAATAGAGCTAATTCAGAAGACTGAAATTCAAATAAAATTAAAGCAACAGCATAAACCTCCGAGTCAGGAAATGCAGGCAGAAGTGAATTCAATTTTAAATAGTAGTTAGTTGTACTTGGACTGCAGATGTAATTTGTAAGTCATGCATCAGACTGCTGGAAGAACTGTATAATAAAGTCTGTGTTTTGAGTCTCCACTGACCTTTAGCCAGGCTTCTATCCTAATATCCCTGTGGCTCCATTGAATCCATGCTTCAGTGAGAGACGGTAGAAAATATAAGATGGTGACATGCTTTGGGCAGAGAAGTTTTCCTAATGAAGAAAAAACTCATTGATTTAATGGTTAACTAAAACCCTTCTAATAGATGGGAAGTAGTGATAAGGGGGAAAATCCTGTCCCAACAAAATGAAAAATAAATATATTGAACACCAGAGTTCTGTTTGCGAACGCTTCTTTCTCTTGTCACAAAGAAAGCTAACAGCGTCACTGTCAGAGTGTGCAGCTTAGGAACAGGAGAGTCATAGTTGGTTTTTCATCAGAAGTCAAAGGCCTTGACTCTTCCTTCTTTGTAGCATATTATGCTGTTGATGAGCCAGTTTCTTCTCTTCAAAATGTAACATGACGGTAAGAATAAGGTATTGAAACAATAACTGGGAACCTTTTTAAAGGTCCACAGTAGAAAGAAATGAGGAAATCAATTTCTACCTGAAATTTTGAACTGGGAAAAGAAAACTTATTTCTTTCATAATTCTAGGTAAGCCATTTTATATTTGTTGACCTGTAAAATAACAGGGCATTTTAAAAGCATCTGATAATTTCTTTTATCGGCAAGAAATAGATCACTGATGAATATAAAATCTAAGCATGTTCTAGTTTAAACAGATTGCAAAGCAGATGTCGTGAGAAAGCTAAATAAATAATAAATACAATGAGAGGAGTCAGAATTACTCACAGAGGGAAGATGAAAGCCCTAAACATGACAACGCTGTGAACAAAACATTTGAAGATAATGCAGGATCCATAGCTCGTGGATGAAAATTCTCCTCTTCCCATACATTCCCTGGGACACATTTTATTACAAACTTAGAACCTAGTATCATGAATGTAAAGCATGGTGAAATTTTGAGATGCTATACCAATTGTCTTGCGGCACAACATCCACTTCAAACGTCCCTAATATAAACTCTACATTATGAAGATGTTGAGGTTAATAGCTTTAGTTCTTTCGTACAGATCGCTAGAAGTCTGCAAGTTAACTTGATTTGACTGTATAAACTACCCATTTAACTAATAAACCCTCATTTCTTTCTATCTTGGGCATTTTCTTTTTACATGCAGTCTAATTTCCAGAAAGCAGTTGACAGTGTTTAAACTGATCATCTTTATGGAACGCAGGATGTGTCATGAGCAACATAAACAAATACATTAATTGTCTTATCATGGTTTTATCTGACAGATGGGTCCCCAGGCACAGAGCCTAACCTTTTATTTTGACACCTGCCACATCTCGCCAGCCCTAACCCTTTTTCTTTGCCAGGGTGTTGCTGTGCGGTTCGCCATGGTTGCATTAATCTCCAGCTTTTAGAAGGCGAAATGTTGGAGCCCTTCTGAGACCCACAAGCATCAGTCAGCTGATACCACAACAGAGAGTACTCACAGATCCATCCAACATCCACGCTCTCCTGTGATCCAAACCCGTTTTCTCTGATTCCTGCGACCTACTGGTTCAATAAGATTATACTAGGCTCCTTTCAATCAAAGGCCCCATAGTGCTAACATGTGACAGGAAACATTTAATTTAGTAGTCTCTTAAACTCAGAATTAATTGGAGATTTGTTTTAAAAAGAAGCAAGGTTTTGACTTTTGGGCTAAAAGGTACATTTTGCCCTCAAACAAGATGTGCATCATATTTTGGCTTATGAGTTAGGAACAGCAGGAATACTTACATTTCAAAAGACAAAGAGCCATCAAGGCGATAACTGTGCATTGTGAAACACAACACACACACAATCTCCCACTTGCACCTTTGGTTTCTGGGGTGATTCCAGAAACCATTGTCATGTGATATGTGTCCTGGTTGGGACAGCCCAAAGCACATGTCTGGTCCATTAAAAAGAGAGGTTCGGTTCTAAAGCGTTTCACAAATCAGTGAATGTACAGAAGACAGGTGAATTATGAGGGCGCATCCATTATCGGGGTAATTTGGTGTAAATTTCAAGGGATTGTCTCCTTGAGCAAAAGCAGACTATAATGAATTATAGAAAACGCTGTAATCAATCTTAGAGGGGAGGAAGTTGGAAACAAAGAAACAGAAACCTAGATATGTAGATAAGATATAAGATTTTAGAAGCATATAGATTGTTCCGCTAGCTCAGACCAGTTTGGTTTAAAATACCACTTCTGAAATGTGCAATTTGTCTTTCCCGGGTGGCATCTGTTAGTTCTGGAATAAGCTTATTTCATAAAATGTAAAATGCCTGGGACTAAGTCTTGGTTAAGCTAAGTTTCTTAATAATTTAGAGGCCCATTTATGCCACCCTGGATATATATGCTCACTGAAAGAAGTATGGGATCTATATCTTACAACAGTCAAAGAAAAATGCTGTTTCATGCCTGAGGCTAAGGGCTATTGGAGTGAAGGTAATTATGGCAGCTTCATGTACCTCTGCAATGTCAGCAGTTCTTTCTTCTTTACTGATCCCTTATTAACATGACTCAGCGCGACCGTACATATTCCTCTTTCTTCCCAGCTTTCACAGGTCACTCTGAGGTCCCAATGCCTCTGATCTGCCTTGGGATGCTACAGAAAAATCCTAATGTACCGAATCTAAACCCAGAGACAAAACAGCAACAACAATAATACGTCCAGCTCAAATGTTAAGGCATAATGACCAAGTTCACAGGTTACTAGTTACGCTGTGGCCCTAGTCCCACCAGCTGTGGAGAGGAATCAGAGATAGTATGTGTGTAGATGTGGCAATTTGGTTGGCGTGCATTCTTGATGATGGTGATTCTCCTAGAGAAGATACCTGAAAATTTGAACAATACTCAGAATGTAGTCCAGGTACTGGAAGGGATCTGCACGCTGCTCATTACCCACCCAGGGCAATGAACACACTGAAGACTATGATTCAGGAAACCTGTAGCTCTCTGCTAAGGATCTCTGACAGCCTCTGAATCTCACAATTAAATATGAGACTACTTTTTTTTGCCTAACTTGTTTCTTAAATTTTTATAATAACTCAATTATCCATATTGATTTTTTTTTAAAAAAAGTGGTAATGACTGTGAACATATTAGCGGTGGGTAAGAAGGCAGAATTTCAAAGGGTTAGACTACTCAGACTGTTTCAGACTGCCCCTCTGGCTGATTAATGTATAAAGATCAAATCTTCATGATAAAATTATAATTCTCTGAACACTGGGTGCCTGCTCAGAAAGCAGACAGTGTAATGGCACAACTCACTAGCTCACATTATCATCAGTAATAAGAAGGCAAAATAGAATGGATTTCGAAAACTAGTAATAGGCTAATCAAAATTAAGTCATTATATTTTTCTCATTTTCAAGTAACTCAGTGGGTTAAAGTGTTTGGCATGCAAGCTTGAGCATCCTCAGGACCTGTGGAAAGCCAGACACAGTGCTGTGGGTCTGTGCTCGGAGCACCCCTGCAGTGTGAGAGGAGGTGAAGACAGGGATTCCTCAGAAACTTGTTGTTCAGCTAGCTTGGCATAGACAGGCAGGGAACAACAAAGAGAACCTGTCTCAAGGTGGGTAATGAAGATCAATACCCGAGGCTGTCCTTGTGTTGTGGCACTCATACATAGTAACACACATGCACGCGCGCACACACACACACACACACACACACACACACACACTCAGAGTTACACACACTAAGACTAAAAATTTATCTATCATCTACCTATCTATATCTATCATCTATCTATCTATCTATATATCTATCTATCTATCTATCTATCTATCTATATCTATGTATTTATCATCTGTGATCCCACTAACATCTGAAAAGAATCAAGTGTATATACTCAATGTTATAATAGCTATATTTATTTGAATATTATTATTCATAATATTATGGACATTTTTCAAACAGTAGTTAAAACCTAAATTTACAAAGATTTCTTCAGGACATAGTCTGTTCTTGAGGTTTGAAGCTAAACTGATTGTGAATGCTACTTAAATATACTTATTTAGTATAACACTTTAAAAACTACCAAGAGGAAGTCCATATTTAATACATTAATGAAAATATATTAAAGGGGAAAGATACCCAAAAGCAGGAGAGAGGGTTTCAGGATAAACTGTTGAAAACAACTTCATGGAATTCATGCATCATTTAGATTTATAGATTTAGATTTATAGATTATATTGAGAAATGGGGAGAGGGAACTACCCGATTTCAGGCAAATAAATCCCCCAATGAAAATCATAGAACAGGTCATTTATGTTTACAAGTGCATTGATGTATACATACAGAAATGTGAGAAAATTAAGGCATCTAGAAAAAATAAAACCAATAAAATTTAGAAGTCTAAAATTGGAAACTGCAAAAGATTTTTGTAGCTTCTACCACCTATTAGTGATATTAGATTGTTAAAATTGGACATTTAGAAACGGAAGAGCTGGACCAGTGTGCTGGTTCGGCAAGTAAAAGTAGGAACTTGCCACTCAGCCTAAAGACCTGAGTTTGACTCCTGGAACCCAGTGGTCAAAGGGGAGAATTGACTCTCACAGTTTCCTTCTGAAGTCCTCATGTTCTGTGCTAAACACACAGGACCACAAACATGTACCTCCACACATACACGCACACACACACGCATACACACTTGCACAAACATGCATGCACAGACACACACAGCAACAAAATGAGAGCATAAAATGAAATAGAAATGCCTATTACAAAATAACACTTTCCATCATATATAACAAAGGCACATTACAAGAGTAAAGTGCTCAAAACATTATTTCTTCCAACTACAATGCAATGCAACATGCTAATTGAAGTTTTGTAAACCTCTTAAACATTCCAAGGTATAAAATCACTATTTAAATAATATTACCATGCTCTCCTGTGGCCACCTGGCATCTCAGTTTAGTGCAGAGCAAAATAAATGGCAAGAGAATTGCTTCCTTAATGAACAACTTTATAACCTCAACAGTTTAATCCCTTTACAATAAAACATACTAATTAAATTACAGAATTAACACAGAGCATTAAGAAAATTTGGACTATTGTCTATAAACATGGTGCCTTACTTAGAAAAATCAACTTGGTAAGAATTTCATCCCTTAATTTAGGAATTTAAAACTACAATATTGTTAATAAAGAAACATAGTGAATCCCCTGCAAGTTTGTGGTCTTTCAGCCTTTAACCGTGGCACAGAGTCTAAGGGCAAAGTAGTGGGAAAGTTTTTTAATAGATAGGATTGAAATCAATGATGTAGTTATCCCGAAAGCTGACAAAGCATGCCAGTCTAAGGAGGTCACTGTGTGGGACGCTAAACAAGAACACTGTGGTACTACAAATGCATAGGCTGGGACCAATCCCAGCCTAGGATTTGGAGGCAAGGATAGTATTGAAATCAAAGTGGTAATTGCAAACAGCCATCTTCACGTACACAAAGTGAAACTGAAACTGAAAAATAGGAACACTCTATCCCAAATTTGGGATAGAAACTAGGTATCTAAGTCACTTGAAAAACAAACAAACAAACAAAAAAAAACCCAGAAACCTCAGTTGCTGAGGGGAAGGGTGGGGGAAAGGGGCAATAAAAGTATATAAAAATTACCAAAAAAGAAGGGATTAATATGGAGATGAAGAAAATACGTCTAGATGTGGCTTATGACCTCCTCTGAAGTTTTTCTGAGTCCAGGGCAGATGTGAAAAGAGTGTATTGAACACCTACAAAAACTACAACACAATGGATTGGAGCTTTCTTTCTGGGGATTGAAAGTTTTAAAACCAAAGATTGGCACTTCCATTGTGTTTGCTGGTGAAATTTCCTTTGTTTCCTCTGGTGTTTCAGCTACTTACCACCACAATTCTAGTCATTGATTTGGTAAACATATTGCACTGATGGTTGATATTTGAATCCTTCATATTTTTTTCATTTTGTCTTTTACTTTGCAATATGTTTATGAAGTTTTCTTTTTGATATGTAGGAAAAAGTTAATTTTGTGTCTCCTGTGGTGACTTCTTTACAGAACTCACATAAGGCATTAGTCCTAGTTTCTTTTATACTGAATGGCCTATCACTCCTCGTTGGATTGAAGCTCTACGTTGAGGAAACCTGTATAAGTTAGAAACACTTATGGGATGCTAAGGAAAAGGCAGGGAAGGTAATTTTTCAGTACTTTCTCTTTTTATGTAAGATTAATTAATTAGGCAAATGCAACCTAAATCAAGCAAAATCTCAGTTATTTTCCCAAGAAGCACCTTTGCAAAGAGGCCATTCATGTCCTTTCCCCGGCTGGAAAAGACACAGCGATCCAGTTGATCTGACATTAATCTCTAGTTACCCTTCATGCTTCTTCTGGTTGCTTTTATTTGTTTATTTGTATGTTTAGGATTCCTCACAGAAGTGAGACAATAAATTTCAAGAGATGGTTCTTCCCTTTCGTCATGTGGGTTCCAGGAATTGAACTCAGATCCCTTGGGCTTCGCAGGAGGCAACTTTGTCCAATGAGTGATGCTCAGTGATAGTTCATGCTTATCCACAACTGCCCATTTACTTTTAAGACTCTTTTTATTTAATATTAGCCGTGTCCTCTGTCTATGTTCACCCCTCCCATGCTTTCAGTTTGGTTTCCTCTCTCTAAATGTTTCTGTTAAGAGCCCTTTGAATATCAAACTCGGGAGCTGCTCTCAGAGTCAATTATAAACCTCCCTTTGAGCCTTGATGTTATTGATCAACTTCCTTGATATGTCTTCCTAACTCCATCTTCCTGCTTTGTTCGGGAACATACACCTTTCCCAAGGATCAGCTTTTTCCCCTTTTCTTATCATGCTGGAGATAAAGCTTTCTCGCAAGCCTCCTCTTGTATCTCAGCCAGACATTTCCCAAAGCATTACCTCACACCATGCTGACATCTACTTGATGTCTAGACGTCCACATCTCAAAAGTCCACACGTCCAAATGTTTCTCAGCACACACTTTCCCAGTCCTTCCCTCTGAGAACAGGCTCCTGTCTTAATTTGGCTTACATCTCCCCTAAGGTTCATATGCTGGAGGTTTGCTCTCTAGGTTGGAGATTTGGGACTTAGTGTGGACCTGTGAAAGAGTACTATCCCAGAAGAGCTGAGGATCCTGGAAGGGGGAGGGATAATGGCAGGGTCTTGGACACACTCCCACATTCCCCCAGAAGAGAATGAAACATTTCTACTGGGGTTCTGATGAGATTTTAAAAGAAGTTTATTTTAAAAGTTTGAAGCTGGCCCCACCAACACTGACATCCTCTGTGATGTACTGAATTCTTCTTTTCACAAGCCACCTCCTCATTGTTATTGGCCATGAGGCAACCACGGGCAGAAGGACTCCATATTTCCCCAACAGCCTGCAACATGATCTCAAGTCATGAGCCAGTCAGCATTTCTTACAAAAGGAAAACATCACCATGCCATTAATTACTTTAAGCATTTCACTTCAATTTGCTAAAAATATACTAAAGCAGTTCTTAATCTATGGACATATTACCATAGGGTTTTTGCA